TCCCCTGGCCAGGTGAGGCAGCCATTTCCAGGTTTGCCTGATGGGTTGAACGGTGGGTGGGGGTTGTCTGGGCTGGAGCTGGGTGTTCAGGGATCAGGTCAGCTCAGTTATAGCAGTCATGACTGGCGGAGTGTTCTTTCTTCTTCAAAAAAGCTTGGACTCTACTCACAGGGAGTATTGGGCAGCAGCGACATCAGTAGAACCGTGGCGTGGAGGACAGAGGGATGGTGTTCCATGCTGAGGCACCACAGAGGCACGTCACCCTGTGCCCCTGTGAGTTCATAGAGCCAGATGGACCCTGGGGTGTCCTCGTTGTACCTTCTAAGGAGTCTCTAGTTTTAATGTCCTCTTTAATTCAAGACGGTTTTTTAAAAAATTCTTTATTTCTCTTATTTTCTAGTTAACTCCTAGTATTATTGCATTGGGGCTAGGTAGTGTCCTATACAATTTTTTACTTTGGGGAGTTTACTGGCCAAGAATTATTCCTTGGATATTTGCAAAAGCAATTGTATTCCTGTAGGACAGGAGGTTTGATGTAGATCAGTTAAATTAAGCTCCTAGGTTGTGCTCTATTTCACGTCACGTGCCATGTGTCTTGTCTAGACTGTCAGATCTCAAGAGACAGATTTACGCTTCCTAGAATGACTCCACACGAACGGTTGTCTTCATATATTTCAGTTGTTCTTTCAATATATAATTGGATGTTTGGGTGCTTTACAGTTTTTGTCAGTATAAAAATCCTCTCGTGTGCGTATTTAATGTTTTTGGTCGTGAATTTTACTTTCCTGATACTTGTTTATCGTCCCCCTTTCTGGGCCATTTTGTTGTTGTAGTTTTATTTCATGAAAACAGTGTCTAAGTGATCTTTCTGCTGAGCCACAGCCCCCCTTTATGGGTTTCTAATGTTTGGTTGTTTTTATCGTTGCCCTTTTATTTTGAAGACTTTACTTTTCATGCCTTCTTGTCTCACTTCCCTCCTTTACGATTTGGAAGTTCGGCCAGCCACCGTGGCTCCAGCCACTTAGCTGTTGGCTTTAGACAAGGAGGAGAACGTTTGAGCTTATCTCAGCCCAGAGCCACTTCCTCCCTCTTCCAGTCCTAGCCACAGGGGAGTGAGTGTTCCTTGAGGAGTTTCAGTTTTGTATTATTGAAGCTGCCAATCTTGGTAGGCGTTTTTATGTTGTTTAGGATATCCAATTTGTTGGGGTTTTTTCCAGTGTTTTGTACGTGTGGTTTTGATTTCTGTGCTTACTGCTCTGATCTGTGGGTGGCTTCAGGGAATGGTGAGAGTCCAGGTCTCAGGCCCCCACCTCAGCCCATTGCACAGAGTCCCCTTCTCTGGAGGTGGCATGTCATTGTGTTGCTCACGGGTTTGGGTGGGATGGCAGCGGCTGTGAGTGGTGTGGCTGTGTCTGGGAGGCCCCCACCCTGGTTCCTGCTGCCCATTCATTCGTTCACGTTTCTCTCAGCAAGCACGCGCACAGTGCCTTTAGCACACTGGACACGATGCTGCCATGGCCTTTGCGCTTTGCCCTTTTCTGAGAACTGAAAACACAGATCTGATCATGCTACTTCCTGACCCGCAGACTCCTGAGTGCTTCCCGGTTTCACAGAGTGAGCCTAGAGTGCCACGTGGAGTCTAGCAGGCTGGACTGGGAGCATTTTGTCTCTAGCCTAGCCCTGTCCTGCACCCTCCAGGCTGGTCCCTAAGATGCCTTGCTGGTCCCCTCTGTGAAGCATGTGTGCACCCTGGGCCTTCCTCCTGCTCCTGTGCCTGGCGAGATCCTCGTCTTCAGCTCTCAAGCTAAATGTCTCAGGCACACACACCTTGTACTCCCCAGTTGCTCCCCCTCCGTCCCCAAAGTGTTTCTGCCTTAGTTCTAGCAGCACTGGTCAAAACTCAAAACGCCTGTAAATGCAGATGCTGAAGGACAGGCCCAGGGTGTCTTGCATTTAAGGGGCTTCTTGGCCTATTTCTTGGCTGGGCTTCTCCTCACTCTGTGGGTCAGAATCACCTGTGAGGGTTTAAAATGTTGCATGGTCTCTCTCCTAGAGATTCAGCTGTCCTGGGGTCATGGCTCCCAGCTTTTTAATTTTAAAAGCATCCTAGGTAGACTCTATATCTGAGATTGAACATGACCAGTTTAGAGTTTCTCCCACTGGAATATGTGTCTTGAGTGGTATCATTTCTGAGATAGCAGTTTTTCAAAACTTTGGGTGGGCTTTAGTCTTTTTATTATAGAGGCAATAATGCCTTAGTAACAGTGACAAATACTGCAGACACGTAGAAAGTGAATTGTGAGTCACACCTTCACTGGAGCAGTCGTTCCTCAGCCAAGCTGGCCTTGAATTCCTAAGGCTGATTCCATCTGATGTGGCGTGTTCTGCCGACTTCTGTCGCTTAGGTTCCGCGTGTGTTTTCCCAGAGGGGGCCCAACTCTCCTTTTCTCTTTTGTTTATCAGCTCTGGAGATGGGGATCGCTTGTGGCCTCATAAAGCAATTGGAGAGGGGGTGACTTTTTTTTCTTAACTGGTTTAGAACTGTTTTGTGGGTTATCCATCCCGAATTGAGAAGGTAGATGTGGGGACTGCTGCAGAGTGTGTTGCCAGCCACAGATTTCTTTAGAAACTCCATGAAGAAAACAAGATAGGCTACTCTATGTAGCTCCCCCTTTCTATTTAAAGCTTTTAAGTGTGGTAAGAGGCATATAGTGTAGATTTTTACCATGTTAACGATCTTTAAGCAAGCAGTTCAGTCTGTTGTGTCACAGAATCTTCAGAATGTTTTCATCTTGCAAAACTGAAACTCTCTACCCATGTTCCCCTCCCCTGTTCTCTGGCAACCCCCATTCCTTTTCTGTCTGTGTGACTTTGACCACTCCAGGGGGTCATAGGGAGGAATCATGTGGCTTTTGTCTTTCTATAACTGGCACATTCCACTTAGCAGAGTGTCCTCGGTGTTCCCCCTGCTGTAGCATATGATGTTACATTTTAAGGCTGAATAATATTTCATTGTATGTTTATATCATTATTTTGTTTACCCATTCACCTGTCCAGGAACATGTGGGCTGCACCTCTTGGCTATTGTGAGTAATGCTGCTATGAACAGGGGTGTACACACTATCTCTTTCAGACCCTGCTCAAGTCTTTTGAATATGTACCCAAAGGTGGAATTGCTGAGTCGTATGGTAAATCTATTCTTAATTTTTTGAGAACCCCCCCCATATTGTTTTACATAGCAGTCACTGCATTTTACATTTCCCCCAACAGTGTGTGAGGGTTCCAGTTTCTCCACATCCTCACCAGCGTTTGTTGTTTTCTGTGTTTCTGGGAGTAGCTGTCTTGATGGCTGTGCAGTGAAACATGATGAGTGATGCTGAGCATATATATATATGCTCGTTGTCTGGCCTCCCTTTTTAAACAGCAGTTATGAACTTCGACTTTCTGTAAAGTTTTTCTGCTGGGCTTTTTTCTTTATGGGCACAGCAACTATTTACAATAAAAATGGAAACTCAAATGAATTGTTGTAGATTATCATGTGTTTTCTCTCCTTGCACGTTTGTTCTGGGGAGCTTACTTTGAAAAGACTACGTACAAGGAGGAGTTCCCCCCACGGAAAGTGGGACCGAGCCTTCCTCCCAGTGTTACCTTACCCCTTGCAAATTGTTAAAAGAGTCGACCTAAAGTGTGTGGTGATGAGTAACAAAATATAAGCATCCCTGTGCAGACCTGAAGTCTGAGACCAGATGCCTCCTGGTGACTCTAAAGCATGGCCAGTGCATGTCATTTTGTTTGTTTATGACTAGTACATGTGTATACCAAGAAGATTTAGGAAATACAGCCTGTAGACAAAATTAAAAATCCTCTTGACTGCCTGTAACTCCATTACTGTGAGATAAATCACACAGACATTTGTTTTAAAATGGGGTCATTCGTGCACAGCGCTGCAGCCTGCCTCCTCCACTGGGCAGTCCCCATCCAGCTGTTCGCCCTCCCCACAGTGGTAGGTGGAATGCTGTCCCCTGGGAATTGCTTTTTGTGTGGCTTTCCTACCCCTCCTTGATGGGGTTCACCTGCCCTTGTGCACTCACAGTTCTAACATTTCCCTTTCAATCTTCTCTTCTAAGATTGGAATTTCAGCAGCATCTCTAAGCGAGATAGACAGCTTCACTTTGCAGAAGTAGTTCTGGCACTCTGTCCTGAAATCAAATCACTGGGGAGTCATTGACTGACCACCTTTTACGTGGGAGGCACCAGTCTGAAAGCGACCTGCCTTTCTGGGGAAGTCGTACATGATAAATACTCTCTTGAATAGACGGTGAGTGCTTTCTCTTCAGCTGCCGGCTCCTGGAAAGCTCTTCTCTCCTTTCTGAAGCCTGTATTCTTGGGGGTCTGAAAGGCCGGCTGTGCTGCCAGCATGGAATGTAAGCCAGTCTCCAACTGCTTTTCCAGGTCTAGCAGGTCAGGGGAGAAGTTTCCAGAACTCCTTAGCTTCTCACCACCCTCTGGATGAAATTATCCTCTAGAGATGCATGATGGTCGTGAGCTTCATCCCATTTTGCTGTCTTTGGTGGAGTGGGTGGGGGGAGCTGCCCTGTGGGCCCACTTCCCTGGAGCCAACAGGAATGCCCCGAGTCCCATTCTGGATGTGCTGAGCCCTCTTGGAAGCCCCGGGAAGCATCTGGAATGTTTAGCTTCTGACTCAGCCCTTAAGCTCTTGCCTTAGTGCTGGGCTCAGTGTATCAGTGAGATTGGGGGCCCAGTTCCCTGGCTGCATTTTATAGTAGCATTTGATGTAGCCCACACCTCAGGGCATTGACAAGGTTTCTTAGCTCAGAGAAAGCCAAGGATCTGATGCCAGCTTCTCCATCTCCTCTCTGCTTCCTCCCTTCCCTCCGTGCCCTGTCTGCTCCCTGGCTGGTGGTGGTGGCAGCGGTGGTGGTGGTGGTGGTGGTGGTGGTGGTGGGGTGCTTTTTGGCTAAGAGTGGGAGGAAGGGAAGGACTCTGAGCTAGCCAGCGCGTGCACACCACAGGCCCTGCCTGCCCATGACAAGTGGCGATTTGTAATGGGGATCATAACAAAACTCAGCCTGATCAGAGGCACGTGTGAAGTGTGCCCAGCACATGCCTCAGTCCTGTCCTGGGAGCAGGCTGGGATTTCGCAGCAAGCAGCTGCCTCGCAACCCCCAGAGTTCCAGGAGCTGGAAGTGGGAAAGTTGGCGTGGAATGTATTTCTCTGAATTAGTCTGGTCAGGAATTGAATATTCCTGGTGGAGTTGAGCAGGTGGAGAGCTGGGTTGGGGGCTGGGCATTTGTTCTTGGTTGGGTTGTTATCCCACAACGAATTGGTTTCCTGCCTCTGAAATGGCAACAGCAGCACAGGCCAGCGGAGGCAGCGCCCGGTGCACAGTGCTCTGCCTGGACCCGCCACCATTCTCCCTTTTGCAGGTGGAGAAGCCAGACACAGGGAGGCAAGGTCACTTTGCTGAGGTTGCAGTGACAGGACATGAGCCCAGCAGTTTGGGTGCACCTAAGCAGGCTGTCCCTCCCATCCAGCATCTGAACCTCATTGTCTACTGGGGCACCTCACCTGGGGAACTCAGGACTAATTCTAGAATGCTACTTGTGAGCCAGGCGCTGTAAGCCTCTTTATTCAGCATATGGGGAAACTGAGGCACCAAGCAGTTCACCCAAGCTTTGGGAGTCAAAATTGAACAAAAGTAGTTTGACCAGGAGTATTCAATCTTAACTCCTCCTGCCCCCAGCGGCTTCCCTGCTTCTCTGCTTAAGAGGGTGTTTCTTTCCTCTGGCCTCATCCTCCTATCTGCCGGCCTGTGTTCCCAAGTTCCTACAAAAACTCCGAAGTGAAGGCCGACCCCAGAGTGCAGGGGTCTGCAGCCAGGTTCAGTGCCCAGGATGATGTGGGGGGGGGGCTGCATCTCCTGGCACAGGGTCCACTGTCACCCGCAGACCCCACAGCCGCTACGAAGGGCAGCTCCTGCAGGGGCTGAGGTCACTCCAGCACCAGCCACCTGGCCAGGCTTAAAGGGCCCAGGCAGGGCAATAGTACCTAGGCCCTTCTTCTAGAAATTGCCTTTTTATAAACACAGGCCAGGTTTTCACCTTCACTTATTTATTTATTCAGTCACTCTGACTTTAAACTCGTATTGAGCTTACAGTTAGCTGGTGGTTCTCAGTAGCCAACTTAAAACCTTGTGGAGTGACGGGGCAGGGGCGAGCAAGGTGAGAATGCCTCTCTTACACGTGGCTGCCTGCAGTTAAGCCAGGGCCACTGCCCCTTGGCCCTGGGCTTCTTGTTTTGTACTGAGTGGGCAGTGAGCAGAGAGGGAGCCACGGGGCCTGGGGAAGGGGATGAGAGAGGCTGGCCCAGGTGAGCAAGGTCAGTGTCACAGTGCTAAGTCAGGTCTGCAGCCAGGTTGATGGTATGATGTGATGAGAAGGGCACGTCCCCTCCATGGTCTTCCTCCAAATAACACATAACCCCAGACTAACAGGGAGAAAAACATCAGATAAATCCCACCTGGGGAACATCTTACAACATACCTAACCAGTCCTTCTCCAAACTGTCATGGTCATCAAAAACAAGTGATTTCTGGGGAAATGTCACAGATAAGAGGAGCCTAAAAAGACATGACAAGGAAATGTCATGTGGTATCCTGGGTGGGCTACTCCAATAGAAAAAAGGACCTTAGGGAGAAACTAGGAGATGTGAATAAAGAATGGGCTTTATTCTTTGATAATATCATAGTGACATCAATTCTGACAAATGTGCCGTCCTCATGTAAGATGCTCATGGGAGACTGGGCCTGGCGCTCCGTGCTCATATCTGCCCTGTATGGTGTGACTACGGCTGGTGTCCGGATCCCAGTGCCTCGGGCGACACGCAGCACCCCTGCCAGGGAGGAGCTGCTGGGTCCCATGCCCTGGCCAGCACCGGCTCTTCTCTATGAAGCCTCGCTCGGTGGGCCACGGTGTTGAGGCCCAGCCCTCTCTGCTCTCGGCTGAGGCCTGTCTTGCTTCCTCAGTGTGTTCTTTGTTCTTTCTGGCCATTTAAAGATGAGCCGCTCTCCTGGCCTGTGAGGAGCTTCTGAACACAGACGCGGATCGTCTTTTTGCTGAGTGAACCTGAGAAACAGGGCAGAGCAGTGGGGACAATGGTGCATTATTAAACTGCTCTGAAATTCAGAGCCCAGAGCAACAGGCTTTGGAGAGACTGGCAGGTGTCAGACCTGGGCCGAGGCCCCCACTAATCCCGTTAGCGGCTTAGGGCTGGCAGATGGAAAACAGAATGAGATTGTGTCTTCTCCAAAGATGGCCGATTAAAGTATGTACAAATATTCACTGCCACACCAAGGTGCCTGCTTGCTCGGATTTTTCTGCTTATGCAATTAGTCACTGCATAGAGTGAGCCCCACACGAAGAAAGTAACTAAACACGTGTATGCACGTGCACACACGGGGTTCCTGCACTTGTCTTTCCAATCTCAGGCTAGAAGAGTGTGAACACCAGGGTTTTGCCCTGCTGCTGCAAGTGGCAACTCTGTCTCTCCCAGATGGTCTGTTTATAATTTGGCATTTCCTCACCCCATCTGGAGAAGTGTTAAATTTTTTCATTCATTCATTCAGCAAGTATCTGGCAGCCTGCACAGCGGTGTGTGGGTGCCGAGTGCTGGGTGAAAATGCAGGGTCCCTGCCACTGTTGTCCCTGCAGGGCTAGGTGCCCTTTCCCTGCCCTACTGGCTGTCTGTCCAACACTTGTGCTCGCTGACCAGTGCAGTGAACCCTGGCTGGGATCCTTCCTTGCTGCAGGCATCATGTCTCTCCTTTAAGCTTGCGTAGAAAGTTCTTTTGTCCGGGCAGCACTGGCATGATTGAATCACTGCTGTGGCCAAACAGGATGTGGTTCTGGGCGACTCCCAACTTCCAGCAATCGATTGTTGTTGTTTTCGGCAGCCTCAAGAGGGACAGACCCCCCAACAATAGGGTGCTTCAGGGTCCTGGAGGGGAGCCCTGGCCCAATGAAGAGAGACCGGTTCTGCAGCATTCAAGGCCTGTGTTGGAAACCGAAGGGTGGAGGTAGGGCAAGCTCCCGAAGTCATTCTCCAGCCCAGAGGAGCAGGCTGAACCTCTTGGAGGAAAATCTTTAGCACTGGGTAAGGCTGGAGGCCTTTGAATTCAGTTTGGCAAGGAGAGAGAGCAGGATTTCTGGGTGGTGACCCTGCTTCTGGGTCAGACCTGGTCTGTTTCTTTGCATGGCAAGGTGGGCGGGAGGCGGGGATGCCCCAGAGGAGTCCCACAGGGTGCAGAGCACCTGTCCTCACTGTTTCATGGGGTGCCAAGGGGCCAAGCCGTGTGGTCCCTAAACTCTGCATAGGTACAGACAATATTTGAAAATATTTGGGGATCATTAAAGAATCACAGAAACAACAAACATTTGTACAGACTTGTGTAGCCACAACCCAGGCCAGGAAACAGGACGTCACCCTTATCTTTGACATTCACTGTGCTCCTCGAATCTCAGCTTGTCGTCATCCAATGTGTTTATCTAATATGCCTGAAGTATTTAAGGTATATGGTCCTGAACTTTGTGGTTGTCCTTCCCTACTATGTTTTAGTTTTATTACATAGGTTGTGTTCCTAAGGAACATCATTTGTTTTTTATGTTTTCAACTTTTATATAAATGGAGCCACACAGTTGCCATTTGTGGCCAGCAGACTCTGAGGTAGCCCTCGGTAATCCACACCTCCTGGTGTTCACACCCCGTGTGCTCCCCTCCCTTTGATGTAAGCTGCAGCCTACTTCTAACTAATAGAATTGATCAGAAGTGCGTGATTAGGTTACATAAGATTATGACTTCTTCTTTGATAACAGACTGTCTCCCTTGCTGGCTTTTGTGGGTCAGGTGGCCATACACAGGGGTCCACGTGGCATGGGCTGAGTGTGTTCTCCCACCATCAGCCAGCACAGAGCTGAGGTCCTCTGTCCCACACCCACAGGGAACTGGATGCTGCCAGCAACTGGATGAGCTTGGAAACTCTCCCCAGTTGAACCTTGAGATGAAACCCCAACCTGGGCCAAGACCTCAATGGCAGCCCTGTAGAGACCCTGAAAAGGCTATACCTGATTCCTGGCCTACAGAAACTGTGAAATAATAAATGCCTGTTGTTTGGGGTGATTTGTTACACAGCGCTAGGCAGCTAATACATATTCTTCCCAGAGTTCTTTTTTGGCTAAACATTATGTCCTTGCAGTTCATCTGTGTTAATATGTATAGCTGTAGTTTATCCATGTCATGACTGTGTGATTTCCCATTGTAAATTCCCCCTTTCTAAGGAGGATACCTTCCAAGACGCCCAGTGGATACCTAAAACTTCTGGTAGTACTGAACCCTATATATACTATGTTTTTTTCCTATACATATATCCTATGATAAGGTTTAATTAATAAATTAGGCATAGTAAGAGATTGACAACAATAACTAGTAATAGAACAGTAATAACAATATATTATAATAAAAGTTATGTGAATGTAGCTCTCTCTCTGTCCCTCCATCTCTCTCTCTCTCTCTGAGTATCTTACGTGCTATACTCACCTGCTTTTTGGGCAAAGTTGGCCAAGGGTAACTGACACCGTGGCATTCTGTGTCAGGGGCGCTAGTGTATGTTAGTGCCCTAGTTTACTTACTCCTGTTCCTGAACGACAGTGGGCTGTTGACCGCCCTTTGCTGTCACAGACCACACTTGCTGTGAAGGTCTTTGTACATGGCCTCCAGCTCAGTGTGCACCTGTTTGCAAGGGAGCGCACCTGGGCATCAGCCCCCCCACCCCCACCCCACAGCGGCGTTCAGGCTTGCCCAGGTTCCTCCCTGTCCTCGTGGCAGTCATTGTCGTCTGCCTTTACTAATTTTGAGAGGATGGCTTGGTGGGAGTGAGATGGTATTTGGTTTGTTTTTCATTTATGTCCTTCTGATTATTAACCACAGCCTAACGTTTATTGACTGTTCTGGTTTCTTCCCATGTGAAGATCCTTTTCGTGGGTTTTTGCCCATTTTTCTTATTGAGTTGTAGTAGTGTTCTGAATTTTCTGGAAAATAAACTGTTCTTAGTTATGAACACTACAAATGATTGCCTCTTAGTTTGTCCCTTGCCCCGTAGGCTTTTAAAATCAAATGAAGCACATTCTGAATCCTTCTGTCCCATTGGGTGAGGATAATTTACAGAACTGTGCTTTCGAGGTGTTCCCGGTCCCGGCCTGTGTACCCTCCTCTCTGGGCCTGGGCTCTGTTTGTCCTCATTGCCTGGCGCGGCCTTCCTGAGGCGGAGACTGCTCAGGGCTCCGTTCCATCCTTCGGTGGCGCGCCCGCTGGTCTGGGAGTGCCTTCCTGTTCAGATAGCTCCTCTCAGCCTCTTAGTCACTTTGGAAATCATGCGGTGAGTCAGCACAGGACCTGGAGCCCGGGGACCCCATGGCCAGACCGGCAAGCGTGAAATCCCAGTTCTGGGCTCTGGAGGTGGTTGCTTGGCTGCAAAGGAATTCGTGGTCTGCAAGGGTCTGGGGAGAATTGGCCCCGCATGTTTGGATGGAATGCGTTCCTGGAGAAAGTTAAAATTAGAAAAAGCTGCCACATTTCCTGCCATTCAGTCTCAGTTGACTGGTGTTTGTTTGCACAAGGATTCTTTGGGAACAGTCTATACTGGGTTTCTGGTGGAATGTGAGGTGAAGTCATGATTTTGGGGATGGAGGTGAGCTGTTGCCATGGTGAGCTTTGTTGTGGGAGTCACTGCTTTGTTTCTGAGTTCTTGCAGAGTTATACTGGAATGGAAAATGTTACTGAAACAATCCCTTGTGGTAGTTAGCAAGAAAATTTTTATTTTATTTATTTATTTGTTTTGGAAAGCAGCTCTTTAATGGGAAGCAAATATCACGGAGCGCATCTCTGATAGTGACCTCCCCCCATCACTCCTGTGAGGCTGGAGTTCTAGGGAAACCCTGTCGGACTGGCATAGCCAAGAGGGGTGCTGGGTTTTGCAAATGAAAATTCAAGACACCCAGGAGGATTTGGGACCTATGCTAAAAAATCATTTGTTATGTACCTGAAATTCAAATTTAACTGGGTGTTCTGGATGTGATCTGGAGACCCTCCCCAATGCCCCTGGCTGTACTTTGCAGTCCTCCATTCTGTTCTCTGGGGGCACCCAGGCCTCTGTCAGGTGAGAAGGGGTGTCACGTGCTCTTGGCTGGCTGGTGGCACCAGTGGACACGTGTGGCTTCTGGATTTTGTTCACTTCCCTGTTGGCACACCTCCTTGTGCCGGTGGTGGGCCGGTGGCTGTGGGTCGCTGTGTGCCCATTTTATGGATGAGGAATGGAGATGCGTGGAGGGTTAACAGCCTGTCCAGTACCGTGCAGCTGGTCAGTGGTAGCATTGGGGTTTGAACTCTTGGTCTGTAAGAATCCACGCCCAGGAGCTGGAGGGCACAGGAGAAATGTGTAACCATCATCTTCCCTGGAGAGCAAAGGTGATTGTCAGAAACTCACCTACAGGGAAGAAGTGCCATGGGACTGTGAGTGTGGGTGGGAGGGGGCTGTCACTGAGACCTGGGCTTTGTGGAAGCCCCCATGTGAGCTGGGCTTTGAAGGAGAGGCAGGGAGGGGATGAAGGAGTCTTTCCCTACAGTAGGAAAAGCGGGAGGAGGTGGCATGTGTTTAGGAGAGTGTCAGGGTGGGGCGGTGACCTGTCCAGAGTGAGGACTTGCCAGTGGATGCTGAGGAGGCTGGACACAGGAGTAGGGCCAAACTGAGGAAAACCCCTACATGGGGCAGGGAAGCCTGGCTCCAAAAGGGGCGGGGCAGAGAGGAGCAGGGCACTTGGTGTTCATAAGCCGGGTATGCTGCACTGAAGATGAGGTGGCAGGACCATAAATTTGGTGGAGGGGTATAGCTGAAACCAGCTGGGAGTTAGTGGTTCAGTGGATCCCAAATTGGGCTGCAAAATACGGGTACCTGGGAAGCTTTCTTTTCTGTTGAGGCAACAGGAAATAGTAATGCGGCATGCTTCTGCGTGCAGGGCACAGGCCTAGGGGCTGGGAACACAACAGTGTGCAGCACAGGTACATCCCTGCCCTGAGGACCACATGGTCAGCTTGTTGAACATTGGGATGCTGGACACAGGGGACTTCTAGAGCAACTCCTTCAAGGTGCTTCTCATTCTGCTTGTCCACACACTGGCATTTGAGAACCTCCGAGTCTGTGTCCTTTCATCTGCATTTGCACCTGGACTTTGTGGATGCCCTAGAAGTCATTCATTCGACACACATTTTCCCAGCCTGCTGTATCCCAGGTGGTTCCAGGTGCTCAGGTGAACAGGACACAGCCCTTGTCTTCGTGGAGTGTTTATTCTGGTGAGAGAGAAAGGAAATAAGTGAATGATCGATAAAAGCATGTCCAGAGTGGTAGATGAGCCCTGGTGAGGGAATGAGTGGAAAAGGGACACTGTTTCTGATGGAGTGTGTGGTCGGCTGAGTTATCCCTCCACACACACAAAAATATTCATATCCTAATTTCCAGCACCTGTGAGTATGACCTTATTTGGCAAAGGAGACTTTGTGGATTTGATTAATTTAAGGATCTTGAGATGGGGAGATAACCCTGGATTGCCTACATGTGCCTAAATGTGATAAAAGGTGTCTTTGTAAGAGGGAAGCAGAGTGAGACCTGGCCACAGAGGAGAAGGCCCTGTGAGCGACAGTGCTTTGAAGATGGGGGCAGGGCCTGGAGCCAGGACACATTGCCCACTAGAGCTAAAAGGGTCAGGGAGACAAATTCTCCAGAAGGAGCTTCCAGAAGGAACCAGAAAGAACCAGCTCTGCCAGTGCCTTGACAGATTTCAGATTTCTGGCCTACGGAACTGTAAGAGAATAAATGTGTTTTAAGCCACTAAATTTGTGGTAATTTGTTACAGCAGCGACAAGTAATGCACTAGTCCCCCCTTATCCTTGGGAGATGTGTTCTAAGCCCTATAGAAACTGTTTTCTCCTGTACATACATACCTGTGATAAAGTTTAGTTTATAAATTAGGCACAGGAAGAGATTAACAACAATAACTAATAATAGAATAATCACAACAATATACTGTAATAAAAGTTATATGACT